CATATACATATACATACACACTGAGTACTAAATACTCAGTACGTTCCCAAATACTTTCAGGGTAAAAAATTTGTGTTTGACGTCCTTGTTGTGTTTAGCAGTTAAATGCTCTAATATCTGGGAATCAAACCCATGACCTCTAGAGACCTAGCCTGATGCTATAAGAACTAGACCACCAAGCTTGTGCTTAGTAGTTGGTGTTGAATTTGAAAATAGGTTAGCGTTCATCCAGGTATTCTTTCATGCACTACCTACCTCACCTTTGATTTGAATTTTTTTTAAACCATGAACATGTTTTTTTTATACTGCCCTCAAAGATGGAATCTTGTTATTTTGTACAACCTATGCGTTGTCATCATGAAAGTGGGCCTGCAGATTCTAACCTGTGCTTACCTCAACCGAGTGCTAGAAGACGGCAACTGTCTGTGTGCCCTGATCCAACTCCTCGGCGTCGTCTGCTTGCAAAAGGGTTATGAAACACCTACAGGTAAGACCTCATTTGTGTTGTCTGCTTAAAAGAATGATTATTTAACACCAATATTTGTGACCACTACTTGTTTGGAAGTGACCAATATATTAGTTGTAATTAGTTAGAATTTAAACACGTGGCACACTAGTAAGGCATTACACTTCCAATTGAATGATCTGTGTTCAAGTCTTTTGCTGGTCACTTTTTGTATACAAGGACTTCACTCACACCTAGTGTACATTCTCTTTGTTTTCTTGTCATCTCATGTGGTGGTTTGGAATGCTAGTGCCTGATTGCTATAGCTATTCCATATATTGTCCACAGGGCCAACTGCTCAACTCCCCAGCTAAAGGACAAGCCAATTAAAGTTATGTTTTCAATGTTCTCTCTACAGACTTGTGTACCTGTGAATTGCCGACTGATGAGAGTGGACTTAGCTGGGATGTTGTCTGTTTCTGTTTCCTCATCATCCAGAAAAGAATCTTCACAAGTTACTATTTCCAGTACATTGTCATTGACCTTCAGGAGGAGAAAAAGCTGGCATCCAAGTAAAGAAAAAAATAATTAACAAAAATACATACATCAATAAATCAAATAATTACTTGAAATAAATAAGAAAAGAGATTTAGAAGTTAATATTTTATTTATATTTAAATATGTATACACATCTTAATAATACGGTAAAGGTAATAGAATAAACCATACTCGTAGCGCCATTGTGCTGAATTGCGTATGGGCGTGGTTTGTGACTACTAGCCATCATAAAGAAGCACTTATAGTAGCTACAAGTTTACATTATTCCACAACAGGGGCTGAAATGAACCATAGCATTGGGGTAACCCAATGCTCTTCCAAAAAATGCAGTGGGTTCTTTAAAGTGCACACGAGCCAGATGTGTTCACTGGATTTCCACTTTAAGTCTTTGTCCGAGAAGAATTAGTTCTACCAACCAAACCTGGGTAACGAACAGCTCAAACCAGCGACGATTTTAAGTCTGGGGCTGTACTGTGCTTAGCCGCACCCCTGCCTTGGCGCTTAGCCACTCATCTCACCTACATATAATAAAATATAAAAGAATTCAAAAAATTAATTATATTTTGTTTGTTATAGGGGAGCAGAGCTGATCAATGATATCCTTGCAGCCAAAGTCCGCAATAATAAGAAAGTAGAGGCACAAATATTGGATAAAATTAAATCAAAGTAAGTCTTTTAAACAGTTTTTGGAAACAAATGCATGAGTGTGGTGTGTAATTACGTTACCATGTAGATGGGATATGGCGTTTGTATACTGACTCTTGTTTGTACTTCAGAGGTAGGTTAAACAGAGAAATTTTAGATTACCTTTTTTTTTTTTTTTTTGGCTTGAATGATGTCACTTTTAAATAAAACTGGTCATAATTTTTGTAACATTTTCAAGGTTATGCATGAACACAACAAACTCTTATTTACACAGGACAGAGAAAATACGAACTAAACAGAAGAAACTTCTGCTGCAAAAAGAATACCAGGAGCCTTTGGATCATGGAGAAGGTACTAAGAATGAATTAGTGTGTTGGACATTTTCTGGGGCGTTGCTATAAAACGGTCATAACTGGTAGTCGTAACTCCTCTCTTAAACGGTCTTACTAAAGTCACTCTGCTGAAGACCATTGCTATAAAACAGTCTTCGCTTAGGCCGCTTTGAGTATTGAAACGCAGACAAGTACTCGGTGGTAACATAAAATTGAGAGTGCTGTTACGCTTGCTCAAAATATGCATATTTATCAAAATGAACGTAAATAAACATAGATCTTTGACGATCTAGGCCGCCGATGTAATGCCATGATGAAAATGTTTTAAGCCTCCTCCGAGTAGGCTTTAAAAGACGGCTAACTGGTTAGGTCGCGGTAGCAATGGTCTAATAATCATAGACCAGTAGTGACATGACAATTAAAGCCGGCTAAGCCTTAAGACTGTCTAAAAACCGCTTATAGCAATCTGCCTCAGGAGTATTAGTCAAACTTTACAGCTGACCAATTGGGATGTCGAAAAGAATGTAGGCATGGCCCACAAACCCAAGTGTATCCCACTACATAGGCCCTATGTTTATGCCCGCTCCTCACATAGGCCATATACTGTATGTTTATGCCCACTCCTCACATAGGCCATATATGTTTATGTCCACTCCTGACATAGGCCATATATGTTTATGTCCACTCCTGACATAGGCCATATATGTTTATGTCCACTCCTGACATATGCCCTATGTTTATGTCCACTTCTGACATATGCCCTTTGTTTATGTCCACTCCTGACATAGGCCCTTAGTTTATGTCCACTCCTGACATAGGCCCTCTGATTAGACTTTTTGTTTTTTTTGTGATGGAATATCATGCTGCCAGTGAACTCCTTTTGTGAAGACATTAACAACATTATCCAAGGACCTGGGCTTAGCAGAACAGTCCGTTCACACAGGTCTCAAATTTGAAAGGATTTGCAAGTGAACCCCTTTTGTGAAGCCAGGCGCTCACTGTGTCATATGACAAATCCAACTCCACTCCCTGTGAGCGCGAGACGACACAACACCGTCTGCTGATTGCCAGTGGCAGTCTGAAAGGACCGTCGTCGTGTTGTGTTTTTTATAGAATCGCGTTGGCCGAATATTGCAGTATCACTTTCTTTTCATTTCATTTTATTCAAAATTCATTTATAGTATAAAAATTTCAAGGATAAAAAACACAATAAAGTAACTCAATAGTCAAACTTATTTCCATTGTGGTCCTTAAAAATTAATTAATTCCAGATATGACTTGGTGTTATTTTTCTTTTTTACAGTTACAAGTCAAATGTTAACAAGTCGACTTGGTTTGAGACACGTTTTTTTTTTTTTATTGCTTGTTGGGATATATATTAATCGCATGTTTATTAATGCTTAAATTAAATGGAGATTTATAAAATAAGTATAGTCAATAGGTTAATTTGTCATTTCATACATTCTCATGGTATATATTATTCAAACATTCAAATAGAAACAATACAAAGGTAAAAAATAATTGCCAAATATAACATTGTAGTAATAAGAACTAAATTATATTAGATTAACAAGCAAAAAACAACATTCACATAAAAAATACAAATACTTAAAATGCACAGGACAATATAAAAAACATTCATAAAGAGAAAAAATAAACACACAAAATTATTATCGTTATAAAAATTGTTATTCAAATCCTTTATTCAATTATTTATTTGATATTGCACAAAGAAAAAATATATAGAGAAAAAAATATGGCTTGCAATGAAATAAGTTAAAAAAGGGAAACATCCAAATGTGATCATTATTATTGTATCATTATTATTATTATGATTACTATCATTCATACTTACCTGTATATGGCAAAAATGCACTGGACAAAAAAAATATTCATTAAGAGAGAAATAAAAATACCATTATCATTATAAAAATTGTTATTTTAATCATTCATTAATTCAATTATTCATTCCGTTCAGGATTCTTTTATATTCATAAGCCCGACAAAATGACCCACTTGCTAGGTCTATTTCTGTAGTTGCATAACTAAGTATAATTTGTGAAAAGAAACATTCCCACAAATGGATTCCCATGGTACTCTTGAGGTAGACACTAGGTTTGTATTTTCTTGTTTATTTTATTTCCATTTTTATACATATTCTGATGTTTATAAAATACACAAGTAAATGGAAATATAGTAATATATAGTTTTAATTATAATTTATAAATACATACATGTTTTATTTATTTCACATTATTTATTCATAGAAAACCATCAATAAAAAAAGCGGTAGCAAGTCGTGGCCCGAACACCAAATTTAATGTGAGCCTTATATTTTCAGTAAAAGTTAATTCAGGCAATATAAACAGAAAATAATTATAAATATAAATATAAGAATCAAGGCAATATATACAATAATTAATATAAGAATTGAGACAATATATATAGTATTAATTGTAAATATAGGAATTGGGACAAAATATACATTAAAAAACCATTAAAATTGAATACAGCCATATAAAAAAGAAAAACAAAGAAAACAAATGATTGGCCAGGTGAATTCTATCCCCAGCAATCGCCATTGCCTTTTTAACCATATGGTCATGATAGAAACCTTTCCACAAACAAGTACTAAAAAATACGCTAAAATTATATTCAAATTAATTGTAATTTAAATTTCTAAAAACATTAAAGATCGCAAAAAAACTTAAATAATAACCATACTGAAAAAAATACAAAGGGTATTAGGTATAGTATAATCAAGCATTGTACAAAAGACAAAATAAATAAAAGTCTAAAACACACAAAAATACAGAACCCTTCTTGAACATTACTTTTCAAACATCATAAATAAACCACTAGTGCGTACATCGGCGTTCCGTACTGCAGCTGTTTATCTCGACCGATATGCACAACAATATGATGCGACCAAAATGAAAGCATGACCGAAATGATCTGTATTCATATTTTCCATGTTCAATAGTCATTGTCGGGTCCCAAATTAACCAAATTAAATCCAATGTGTACTCTTGTTTAAAGAAGAGTTAAGTAACAGATATTGTTTTTGAGTGGAATTATGAATGTATGTTTTGTTGTATCATTCCTTAAATATATGAATGCATGTTTTTGTTGTATCATTCCATTTTGTTTTTTCCGTTCACAGCTATCAGAGGAAATGCAGGCTACTACATGTTTGTGGACAGTGACAGTGAAGATGATTTCAGTGATTTCGAGGAAGAATCTGTACATGAATATGGCGAACCTGAAGAAGTAATACCCAGAAGTCAAATAAAAAGAAGACAATCTATCACTGATATGGATAGGAAACAATCAGCATGGCAAGTAAGTTAATAGTCTGACTGACTTGTAACAGTGTTGGTTATGGTAGCTTGATTGACAGCCCACAGTCAGTTAGAGACTTGCATCAAGAAAAGGTGTAGTGGGTTCCAATATGAAATGTATACCAAATGAGATATAATTATTGCTTAATTAATGCATTACATTTGGAAAATATTTAGTAGGTGGATGCTAAGCGCCATGATCGTCGCAAGACGACGCTATATAAGATAAGTGCCCGTTTATTATTATTCCTTCACAATATCTAATACATGATTTTGTACTTCCAGTTGGCTTTCCAGGCTTTCATGACAAGTCCGAAGACAGCTCTTGAAACTGATGAAGCCTTGTCCCCAACTTCTCCAGAAGGTCAAAGTATGTTTTTTCATTCACAATTATTTATTTTGGTTGCAATATACATGGTGTTGTATTAGATGATGCCTTTTTTATATAAAAAGGAAATTGTAGGCCTTTGTAAATTTTTAGGTAGCCTAACATAGCACTTGCTATTCCTGTAAGGTGGAAGGTATGTGGCTGGGTAGACCCCAATTTTCCCAATCCCAACCCCCAAAATGTTTCAATCAGTTTATTTATATTTTGGGTTGTATTGTATTTTGCTTGTTTTGTGTCTGTTTTCTGTATGGTAGGCATTTTTTAATATGTCATCTCAAGAAGTTTTCAACTTTTGTTACATTTTGAGTGTTTGATACCAAATATATATGAAAAAAAAATAATAATTAAGGGTTAATAATGTTGATGTATTTATTTTTAGGTCTTACGGTTATCGGAGAAGAACGCAAGGATGAAGCAGATGGCGTACAGCCTAGTACAAGCGGAGCAGCAGTGGGTAAGTATACAAAGTAGTTACTTGATAAAAATGTGATACTGTGTCTGTTTATGAGACTTCAGGAAGTGGGGTTGCTTTTTTGCCTCTAAAAAATGTATTTGACAAAGGAATTAAAATAGATAAAGCAAAAATGTTTATTTGACTGTCATTAGTAGGCCCATCATTTTGTTTTTGCTTTCCAATAATATTAACCCCACTGGATTAATATTAAAGAATAGTATAGATTCAGTGGATGATAAGGTGGTTGCTATTACAGCATGGCTAAAAAATTTAGTACTGGTTTCCAGTGGGAATTATTGTATCTTCCTATAACCTACTTACGATTTTTTTTTTTTTTTTTTTGACAAAGCTGATGTAACAGATGACCTTAAAGGTGAAGAAACTGATGTTGACCGTGGTGTTCCAGTGACTGTGGATGAAGCGTTAGTGGAGGTTGTGGATGATGTGTTAGACAAACTTATGGATGATGAAGACGAGGAGGGTAAGCCTTAGTTTAAATATTGTTGGTTGTAAATACAGTATTTAAGCATAGCTGAGCATTTGGTATTGTTCCTACTTCCTGTGCTTAAGACTCTAGTTCCAACCTAGCCAGTGCTTCTCAAATAACCCTCATAATGAGAGTTAGGCAGGTTAACCCTCATAATGAGAGTTAGGCAGGTTAAGGACAATGTTTGTATTCATATTGCTATTTCAAATTACAATATGGATCAATAAAGAATTATTCTTTCATTTACGAAATAGAAATGAAGCTATTGATTTTATAGACTGCTTCTGGTTTTGATCATTGCTTTTGCAACTTGTTGCTTAGGTATTGGCATGTGCTGTTTGGCATTTTTTTGTCAAGTTTTTCTGTTTTGGATCAAAATTAGCTTGTGGGTCAGCATACACAAGGACAATACTATATTGTAGTTTTGACAGTACACTACATTGATAATTGAAGCATTAATGTCGACCCTCACAAAAGTCCTCGAAAAAAGCCCTCACGGAGGTATCTCACTGTTACAGAAGTCCCCTCAGACCTGAGTAACATTGTTTTATTTCAGGAAACTTTTTTTTTCAGAATTTGGATGTTGGGACAAATTCTTGAACATCCTGCGGTTAGCATGGAGAATATTTCTGCGTCTGATAGATTCAGCTATAGCACGCTTGGATAAGTCCTCCGAGGAATACCGCTATGTTGCAAAGGAGTTAAAACGCATGTCAGCTGAGGGAAAACGACGAAGATCTGTAAAGGTCAGATTGGGTCAACACTCTATATAATTCATACATGAGAGTGAATGAATGTCAGAAAAGAAAAATGAATAGTCGATTAAAGGAATTATTAAAGGAATATTTGAATAAATAACTAAAGCAATTAACAAATAATTGAAAGAAATGAATAAATTATTAATAGACAAGTTGAGGAAGATTTTTTCTCTTCCAGCTAACAATAGGAATAATATCTTTATGCTAAAATATGTCACTATTGACCATATTGAAACTTAATAACAACAATCAATTACGTGTGTTTAAACAGAGGGCCAAGTTGAAGAATGCTACGGAGACAGATGGGGATGGTGTGTTAGAAGAGGAGGAGGAGGAGGAGGAGGAGCCAGCTGTTAGATCCGAACCTCGGTAAGATCTTCAAATCTGCTGCCTTTTATGTTATACTAGTTGATCCTAGTAGTATTTGTTTTCTAAAATATTTACCATATCAACATGAAATAATATCATACAAAACAGTAAAATTATAGATTGCCACTTAGAAGTTGTCGATAATTTTTATCATATCTACTAGTGTACAAAACATACTTTTTTCTGTGACTCCCCCCCCACCCCTTCCTCTAAAAGAGTACACAGTAAAATGTTGGTTTGTGTTATTTTGAAATCATCATTTTATCTTTTTCATAAAATAGTACAAATACCCAGACTTTCAACCATCTTCACCCCTAATCATATGTTTTGTACTCTTTTGAAAATTATGGTTGGCCTGGTTATATCCTGATAAAACTGTTTTTTACTGGTTTTTTTTTATGTATTTTCTAAGAAATGTATGAATGTATAAAGAATTGTATACACTTGAGGATTAGTAGTTCCACTATGGCATGTATTTGTTACCTATTGAAAACTCCTTCTGACCATTTTGCATTTTTCTTTCATTTTCAATGTTTCCTGTTCCACTTGTTGTTTCCAAAACTTGTAAGTTACAAGCAAAATTAATTTTTAAACAAAAATTGTGATGGATGTTGGTCACTGTATGTAGTCTGCTTACTTTTCCACCAGTAGTATATATCTTGTCTGAAAATATGCTCACAACCCTCTGCTCCTCATAGCTTGTGATTTTATTTTGTTTGAAACTCTCTCCCCCTATTTTATTTTTTGCACCTTATTTGATTTTGCATCCTTCTAAAGTTAAAATATTTTATTTTCACCTTCCTTTGTGAAAATGAATGTGTATATGTAAGCACCTGTTCGACAAGCTTTTCTGTACTAATTTCCCTTTTTCTTTTCAGTTGTCCTTTTTATGTTTTCCTATCTTTTTTTAAAATTTATCCTTGTTTGCACAATGAGCATGCCAATGCAGGGATCATTGCCTTTAAATATGAGGAGGGCGCCCTCTGTAGCATGAAATATTTCACAAGGCTATGGTTCATTTGGTAGTGATTGTTAAGGTGTTATCATACCTGCACATAGGTCTTTAAATAGTAAATTATATAGCACCTCTATTCATTCTGTATGATACTAACCATATACAGCAGCACATCAGATTTAACCAGAATATAATACTGTACAACCAACGACTTAACCTTGTTTTGCACAATCTGCCATTTACCAATGAGGTTTTCAAATAAAATACAAATACTTTTGCTTTTCCTGCTTTGAAGTTTGTTTTTAATTTTTATCAAGCCTGCGATCTTAATGAAATATCTAAAAATAAATATTAGTTTCCGCCTCACAATTTTAATAAATATGAAGCATTAGCAACCTGAGAACTAAACTGTTTACCTCACAAGATCACAGTCTTTACAACCATGCAATAAAATCTTAGCCAACACACACATCTGTCTCTTATACACATCTAGATGTGTATAAGAGACAGGAAAACAGTAAAATTATAGATTGCCACTTAGAAGTTGTCGATAATTTTTATCATATCTACTAGTGTACAAAACATACTTTTTTCTGTGACTCCCCCCCCACCCCTTCCTCTAAAAGAGCACACAGTATAATGTTGGTTTGTGTTATTTTGAAATCATCATTTTATCTTTTTCATAAAATAGTACAAATACCCAGACTTTCAACCATCTTCACCCCTAATCATATGTTTTGTACTCTTTTGAAAATTATGGTTGGCCTGGTTATATCCTGATAAAACTGTTTTTTACTGGTTTTTTTTTATGTATTTTCTAAGAAATGTATGAATGTATAAAGAATTGTATACACTTGAGGATTAGTAGTTCCACTATGGCATGTATTTGTTACCTATTGAAAACTCCTTCTGACCATTTTGCATTTTTATTTCATTTTCAATGTTTCCTGTTCCACTTGTTGTTTCCAAAACTTGTAAGTTACAAGCAAAATTAATTTTTAAACAAAAATTGTGATGGATGTTGGTCACTGCATGTAGTCTGCTTACTTTTCCACCAGTAGTATATATCTTGTCTGAAAATATGCTCACAACCCTCTGGATCTGCTCCTGATTCTAAGTTTCCTCATAGCTTGTGATTTTATTTTGTTTGAGACTCCCTCCGACTATTTTATTTTTTGCACCTTATTTGATTTTGCATCCTTCTAAAGTTAAAATATTTTATTTTCACCTTCCTTTGTGAAAATGAATGTGTATATGTAAGCACCTGTTTGACAAGCTTTTCCGTACTAATTTCCCTTTTTCTTTTCAGTTGTCCTTTTTATGTTTTCCTATCTTTTTTTTTTAATTCATCCTTGTTTGCACAATGAGCATGCCAATGCAGTTATCATTGCCTTAAAATATGAGGAGGGCGCCCTCTGTAGCATGAAATATTTCACAAGGCTATGGTTCATTTGGTAGTGATTGTTAAGGTGTTATCATACCTGCACATAGGTCTTTAAATAGTAAATTATATAGCACTTCTATTCATTCTGTATGATACTAACCATATACAGCAGCACATAAGATTTAACCAGAATATAATACTGTACAACCAACGACTTAAACTTGTTTTGCACAATCTGCCATTTACCAATGAGGTTTTCAAATAAAATACAAATACTTTTGCTTTTCCTGCTTTGAAGCTTGTTTTTAATTTTTATCAAGCCTGCAATCTTAATGAAATATCTAAAAATAAATATTAGTTTCCGCCTCACAATTTTAATAAATATGAAGCATTAGAAACCTGAGAACTAAACTGTTTACCTCACAAGATCACAGTCTTTACAACCATGCAATAAAATCTTAGCCAACACACACATCCCCTCCTGAGCATGCAAGAGAACACACACAGAGACAACATTCACACCCTCCCCCACACAAAATGACACATGCACAAACATGTATCTTGGCCAGAGCTAGGCATGCACAAACACTCATTGCTTGCTAGAATGGTTTAGAAGTATGCAAGATTGATTATGAAAGTAAAAAAAAAGAGTCAGCCAAAATTTAAAAAAACTATTGGATAAGAATTGTTAAGTATTGTGTTTTTGTAATTGCAAAATTAAAACATAAGAGACAGCCAGATGTTTTTGTATAAAGTTCTTTAAAGTCATCCATGATCTTTGTTATAGTGTTACAATCAGTGAGGATGTTACCGTGACAACTGTGGATGTTGCTTCTCCTGGAACCAAAAGGTTAGTTGGTACAAATTATTTTGTAAGCAATATGAATTATTTAGATATTTGTTTAGCATTATAATATTTTTTTTTTTAAATAACTAACTTACCTCTGAGAGATGGTTTATCTCTTGAAGGGGAGGGAAGATATGTGTATTGTAGATCTGACCTTTGCATATCATTCATTTACAAAAATAGTATATCATAGATCAATTCAAGCCATATTTGTATTTTTATGTTTAATATTTATTTATTAATAAAATATTAACACATTTTAATGATGTAGTAATTACAGTATTTTATGTCTGAAACTCATGCATTTCATTTAAAAATGGGATTATTTTAGAACTATTTCATTGGAACAGAATTTCATCGAATTTGAACGTAGAACATAATTGTAAATACATTTTCATTATTTCATTAGAAATGAGATTTGTATAGTTGCATGCATGTCATTCCATGTTTTATATCATAATTTGATTTTGCCTCCCAAGTTTTGAACCTGCTCCTGATGGTCTTCTGATGTATCTGTAAGTGACCTTGATGCCAAGTGCCTTCTAAGGCTGTTGTGTTTTCTGTTCTGGTTTTGATAGCTAAATTGTTTGATGTGAATTGACTAGAGCTTTGAATATTAACAAATTGGGCACTAAAAACCTATCTAGTAGAAAACAAAAGTAGAATAAATTATTGAGCATCAGTGCACCATGCACAACCTCCTCTACCCCCTGGGGAGTAATCAGCACAACCTCCACTACACCCTAGGATTAATCCACACAATCCCTCTCTTTCTGTTGAGCAATCATAATCATGTAGCTAGATAAGCAACAAACTAACTTTATTCCAATTCATTTACACTCTTTGGTCTTTATATTAATACTTGTACCCTTATAAAATTCACATGAGACAAAATGGTTAGGGACACATTTTAGAGAATATTTCAGCAAGTCTCCTCGTCTGCATCATATCCATGTGAAAGTGCATACTTGTAACATTAACGAACGTCCAGGTTAATATCCATGAAGGAATAAAATAGCCAGCTAAGAGATATTTAACATGGATCTGTTCACTTGGCATTTAGCTTGTCTTTCACTGTGTCATTCCCTGTCTGCATATATCTAATGTAAGGAGCATTTCTCAAGTGTTTAAGTTCACGGATGTGAAGACGACATGATTTGGGTAGGACTACAGTATCTTGGGAGGTAATATTTATCATCTGTTCCTGTGTTATTTGGTCTTGTGTAATTTGGGTATTACTGTAATTTATAAAGCATCATATATTTCTATCTTGTAAGTGATGGGTGTACTCATATTTAATTGTGAAAAGGGGAAAAACTCTGATATATGTGGAAGTGACACTGGCTTTATCACCAATTTTCAGAATGTTTAAACAAGTTTAATCTAAATTTTATGTGTACTTAGTTGGTTTTCTTTGGTGTGAAACACACCATGAAAATCCCACGAAAGTCCAAACATTTTTAACAGTGGCGGTCTTTCTGACATTGAACTACACAGCAGAAGATAATCTCTGCTATTTTCAAAGGATTTACTGCATTCTTGAATTTGTACATATATACCATAATGCAGGATCAAAAGCTCACTATTTCTTCCAAAAGAATCCTCCAGTAGCAATTGCACCAGGGACCAGAGGATCTCCATGGTTCCGCACACCACAAATTTAGCTGACTTTAATAGTAGCATTATCATCCTGGTTTTAGTGGATATTTTTTCATTAGATGGTACACATGTTAGACTTTAGTTTTGAGATGTAAAATATATTCACTATCATTAATTAATTAGTGGTCTTTAATAGTAGCATTATCATCCTGGTTTTAGTGGATATTCTTTCATTAGATGGTACACATGTTAGACTTTAGTTTTGAGATGTAAAATATATTCACTATTATTTTAATTAGTGGTCTAAACTAGTTCATTAACATCTGGTTATTTCCATTTGGACCAGCATACCATATTCATTGCACTTGTACTACTGATCTTACTAATTACAAAAATGTTTAACTTTTATAATTTGTATCTTTCTAACATCAATATTATTATTACCTTTCTTGTTATTGTTATCTTTTTATTATCACTATTTTTATAACTATTACTGTTTAATTATTGTCTATCTTGAATTTATTATATTCAGTTTTGTTTAATATTATAATTACTATTTTCATTCTTTGGATAATAAGTGTTTGTGTTGGTTTTTTAGGCTATGAAGCTTTGTTACTACTAGCAAAACTAATAGAGTATTTTTGAATATTTACTGTCTACTTCATTCTCTCTTACTTTTCTTGTAATTGTTTCTGTAAATAAAACAGCATTTTTATTTACTTTTCAGTGGTGATTTTGAGGACAGTGTTGACACTGGTTCTAGTGATAAGTTTGAGAACAGCATGCCTAGGCCAATTCGACTGCTGAATTCTGTGGTCTACTGGGGTATAGCACACTCGGAGCTAATTTGCTATTTTGTCATCATTCTCAATCATCTTGTGTCAGCCAGCATTCTGTCACTGCCGCTACCAATCCTGGTCTTTTTGTGGGCAATGTTGACTGTCCCACGGCCAACCAAGAGGTTCTGGATAACAGTGATCACTTACACAGAGGTAAGTTTTGAGATTTGTACTTGCCATTTTTATTAATTAATTTAAAATATTGTACTTATTTTTTTCTTTGTAATAATGGGCTTTGATGTACAGCGCTTTGATCTTTTTTTGTAAAGGTGCTATATAAATGCTTTTTAATAATATTAATAATAATAATGAGAGGGGACTGACTAGAGCAAGTATCAAACACAAGCTTGTATTGTAAAATTTATTTAATGTCCTGTAATAGCAGATCCAAGAATTTGAAATAAATGGGGCCCAGAGGAGGGACTTACAGGTAGAAAGTCCAGATCACCTCAGCCTCACCATGGTTGTGCCAGCGGTACAAATGTTTGTGACCCTGGCACCACTGCATGACTCAAAATTGCACGCTTTAACTCAATTTTTTTCTTTTTTACCCAAAAAAAAAAGTTAATGCCCCAGGTTGCTGCCCCCTCCCAACTTAGAATTTACTACGTTCCTGTATCAGATTAGTTATCATCATGCAAAAAGTTAGTTATGTTGAATTGATTGAAATAATAAATTATATCTTAATTGTGGCATGTTTTTCAGATTGTCGTTATTTTGAAGTACATTTTCCAGTTCCAGTTCTACCCCTGGTACGATGACGTTACTAAGGAGGAGAACCCATTGTGGTGGCCTCGATTGATCGGCATTGAGAAGGAAGATCAATATGCCGTCTTTGATCTCATTGTACTGCTTGCTGTCTTCTTGCATCGATCTATTCTACGAGTTAGTACACACTTATTCTGCAAACAGTGCTTAAAAGTATATAACAGTACTTAAAAGTATAACGATGAAACAACAGATAAAAGAATTTGTTGCCAAACTAAAGTAGATGTAAATCAAATTTTAAATATCATTTTGTTACAGTATGTGTAGTTATCAGTTAAGAGTATAGACTTTTAAATTACAATGATACTCTACAAATTATTGAGGTTAGGTTGGGTCTATGAGTCAGTTGCTTCGCTGAAATTCAGGTTGCTTCAATGCACCGTCTTTCTGAAGAGACACTAGGGAGCTTTCCACTGAGAACATTAAGTTCTCCTCGTCGCTTGGATTCTAGGCTGCAAGTTGACCAAATCTGTGTTATGCAGAGAACATTTGATGGTCACCATAAGTGAATGCGTTCTAGCATTGCGTCATCGCGCAAATTAAAAGCTCCTTATTTAAGTTGTAGGTCAGACGGCAACGGTGGCAGGAAAGACAACGACAAAGACAATGGCGCGGTAATGACAGTTGCTATTAAGTTGTAATTTATTTTGTTTGCAGAGACATGGTTTATGGCAGGAAAGTAGGGTACTGCCGGATTTCCATGATGTTGAGTTAAACGAGTCACTAGAAGAGCAAAAAGAGGAAGAAGATGTAAAAGATGGTGGCCATCTCTCTGTTAAAGGTAGGCAGACTTTAGAGGGTGCACCTAATCACAATGTAAACAAACAAAATTTCACTACTGAATAGAATAGATGTTAGAGCTTGTTAGGTTGTTTAAATGGCCTGTAAAATGGCCTAGCAGTTAAGGCAGGGCGCTGCAACCTATATCCCCAATATCGGCATTGGTTCGAGCGGCCTATGGTTCTCGGATAAGGACTTTAAACCATAGGCCCAGTGTACACAATGTGCACTGTAAAGAACTTAATACTCTCTCGAGACAAGTAGGGAGTTATCCCGGTGTAGTGGTCCATTTCACAGCCCCAGTAACTTGGGGCTGAAGTTTTGAAATATATGAATTTGACCCTCAATCCAAGAAGAAGATTAATGGTTTTTTTTATAAAATAACTAAGTGTAACTGGTCAATGTCATTTACTATATCAAATGTGTATATTAATGTTTTTTTATTGGGTTTTAATAATAAGATCCCCATTTGTATTATAATTTAAATATATTTTATTATTAATATTATAGAAAAAGGTTCAGATGATGTAGATGATACAGGATCAGTGAAATCAGATGAATCAGAAGAAAAGAAAGAGACAAGGTTAGTATAGCTATATAGATGATAGTTAATGCACCACTTTCTCTGGGACATGTTGAGTACTTATAGTAAAGCGACACCAAGTAGGTATGCTTTTCATTGCATAAACTATGTTTTTTTTATGTGTACGGCTCTTTCCTCTTTTGGAAGGGCGCCTAATATATTCATAGCATATACTGTAATCTACTGAAGTATTTAAAGCAGATTTTTCACTTTTATTTAAATTTTTTAGGCTCTGTCTGGGTGTAATATGACATCAACATGCCCTTATATAGGTGTGGTATGTTATCATCATGCCCTTTCCAGATCTTGGTCCTGTGGTGGCAATAACTTTTTTTCCCCTCAGTCTACTGATTCTTTTTATCTAATTTAAACTTGCTTTTACCTACACACTGTGCTTGGTCGTTGTACATAATTTCATAGAAACTTCTGTTACTTATTGCCCATCAGTATATTTGATCCGTTCCGGCATTTCTACCAGAGGTTAATAGACCCGACCTACAGTTATGTGACAGACGTTTATGTGACAATGTTTGGTTGCGATTTCATCAACTTCCTCATCACAACATTCTGTTCGTATGCATTCGGGGTAGGTTTCTTTTGTATATCTCTGTTTTGACTAGTAAAATGTGCTATGTAATTATTCAGTGATTGTCTGTGATATATTCTATTATTATTCTATTTATTATTATATAATATAAAAGAATCAATCTTTTCAAACTTACTTGCTTATTTCATGACGATATTTCGCATCCAATCCAGGACGCATCTTAAGGCCAACTGTTTTCCAGTTGAAAAGATTTTTTTTTTGTATTATATTATATATATCCTGGGTGAATAATAATATTCACAAGCATATCTATTTGTTATTTTATTATTATTATCTTTGAATCTTCAATGGTTTTTCTTTTGTATCCCTCAGGAAGAGCAAGCTCAGACTGACGTGACGGAGTACATACTGAATAATCAGATACCGATGTCGTTTGTGTTGCTGCTCCTCATCCAATTCATTCTGATTCTAGTTGATCGTGCCATCTACTTGAAGAAGAACGTCACTGCTAAATTCATCTTCTTGATAGTTTTAGTGATAGCGATCCACGGCTGGTTGTTCTTTCTTCTACCTTGGATGTCAAACAAGTTAGTAGCAAACTAATTCTTTTTTTCATGGTGAAATAACTCTTCAGCCCCAGCCCAGCCAAGCCTAGCCTAGCCTAACCTAGCCAAGCCTAGCCTAGCCTAGCCTGGCTAGCCCAGCCCAGCCTAGCCTGTGTTCCAGCTTAATTTGTTCTACAGCATAGTGGCCCTTGCATTCTGCACTGTGTCACCATTGTCGTCATCATCTTTGTTAATATTTTGCTCTTAGAAAGCTGTTGAGCTGGTGATATTGTACATTCTGAAATTACTAGCACCAGTCTTTCTTTTATCTTTTTTGTGTTTCATACATTTACATTTAACCATATATTTTTTCACAGGCAATTTGTTGACAATACTCCAGCTCAGATCTTCTACTTCTTTAAGTGTTTATACTTTGGGTTGTCTGCATACCAGATTCGCTGTGGTTACCCTACAAGAATATTAGGCAACTTCTTAACTAAGAGTTACAATTATGTTAGTCTTTTCCTATTCTATGGGTAAGTTTATCATTATTATTTATTATTTTAATGTTATTACTGATATTTTTATTGATATTCAAACAATATGTTTGCCCTACCTGACGTGTTATCGTACTGAATGCTCAGTACGATCCCAAATGCTTGCGAAAAAAAGTCTTGATTGGTTGATTCCCAAATAGCTAGCCTAATGTCTCAACCACTTCTTAACCACCGAGCTTGCTATTATTAGTATTGCTTATTATTGGTATTGTTATTGCTGTTGTTATTTGTATCGTTATTTGTATTTTTTTTAAATTTTTAATGGAATACAAACGATTTCATATTATTATGCAAAGTAGGTGTTTCAATTCCTTGCTGTGCATTTTGCTTGTGTCCTTAAGCAAGGCACATTATCTACATTGCTTCTCCACCCAGGAAGATGGGTACCTGGTAGGGTTAAAATGCCAATTGTGCTGATTAGCTGCTGCAACCTTATTGACTATTCCTCGGGGAGCTGAGTTGATGTTCCATGGGTGTTTAATCCAATGACCGGCACATGGAGGTCCCATCATATTGCACTATATAAGTTTACCATTATTATTGTTATTTGAAGTGTCTGTTTTTGTTTACAGTTGGCAGTTGATTCCTTTCTTGATGGAGATTAGGATCGTGATGGACTGGATGTTCACACCAACGACACTGTCTCTCACACACTGGGTTGAATGCGAAGACATCTTTGCTGATTGCTTCATCACAAAATGCTGGAGAAAAATGGAAAAGGTTTGTATATTTGCTACCATTTAATCAAAGCTTTTTAAAGAAAGTTTTTTATGTAAATATCTGTTGTGTTTCTTATCTTATATCTGTGTCTTTTCTAGAAATATCCAGCTGCTAGGGGCGTGGCAAAGAGCTCTTTAGTAAAATATGGTGCTGGTGGCGTCATGCTGTCTGCACTTGTGCTCATCATCTGGTTCCCGCTTCTCTTCATATCATTTGTAAATACGTCCAGTATTCCAAACCCCCCAAGTATTGCCACGGTGCAGATACAGATTGCAGGCTATGAGGTAAGGCTGCTTAATGTTGTGTTGAATAACCAACATGTGAAACGATGTTATTTTGCATTTGCATTACAACCAGATATCTCCATTATCTAGCATATCTAGAATTATTCAAGTTCACCACCAAATATTAGAGAATGTGGCTGGGTGAATACACAAGACCATTTAACGTATCAAACCTTATAAGAACCATTCAACCAACACACCATAAGGAGTTGCCCTTGCAGCAACAGACTTGTCTTTTGTAAGATGTTCAATCGTAAATGTACAATCCAGCAAATTTTAATTCAAAACAATAAACCATCCATTCATTCATGCACCAACATTGTTAATAATTAATTTCTTTTTGTGTGTTGTTTGTGTGTGCCTATGCATTAGTCCATGTTGTTATAAATACCTTGTATGATGCAATAGATGGAATGAAATGTGTTTTCATGTTGCAGCCTCTGTTTGATATGAATAGCCAGGATCAAGCTATACATCAAATGACCAGTGACGAGTTTTCAGATTTGAGAGATGATCCTTTGTACAAGACCAGTCTTGTGAGTATGCTTAATAATAAGCAGACCATTTCTTCTAAATATAATCTGTAATCTGATACATTAGTTTTGTACTGTATTAGATTTCAGTGTAGTGTTCTTTGTAGCATCTTCCTTGTTTGAGTTTCAGGGCCAACATCATATTGTTCAATTCAATTCTTTATTCCACAAATGTCACAATATTAACATACTTTTTACATATTACTTTTTTCAAAATATGTGGAAAAGGGTATCTCACCACAAGCATTGCTTTACATGTGGGGGCCCTTCAAAGCTAAAGGCAGGTTCTTCTCTGAACGCAATCAAGCGAATTTCGCGTCAAAATGTGGCGCGCGCGGCTGAATCGAAGACGCGAATGGCGTTTCCAATGTGAACATGCAAACAAATTTGTAGTCGAACACGCGAACGCCAAATATTCTAACTTCGATGCGGTGCGAGCGGTTGTTGCAGAGGCTTCGCCTGCGAATTCACAAGAGTTGATCCAATACCAACTTTTTCGGATTCGCGAGCGAATTCGCGGCCAATGGACCAATCGCAAGGCTTAGATTCAATTTATGTCAAAGGTCAACAATAAAGTCACGACCATTGTCAAAACAATGTACAGATGTGCGAGCGATGACCGACGAGTCCGTTTCATGCAAACTCTGTGGAACAGTAGGCTACCCTAGTTTAGGTCTGTGAAAAGGAAGCAAAGAAAATATGTGACAATGCGTGGAAAAGGATTTGCAGTTGAGTTATCTCCTCTTTCTACCAGTATTAGGCCTGTCCAGCCTAGGCCTCTGATACCCTGCTACTACCTGAGACCTACAGTAGGGTAGGCTAGGCTACGCCTACTCTACCCTTAGGAGGCCTAGCTCTAGGCCTTGAATAAATATACTAAAAGAAACTATGTTTATATTCACTCTTTTGATTCATTATAGAGTTCTAGGA